GTCCCACCTGATGGCCCTTCCCTACTCAAACTGGTAGCTGAAGACAAGGGGATATTCTCTTGGGAGTTCTAGGGCCCTGCCCACCTCCAGTTTGTCTCCATACTACCACAGCTGATGCTCTCTGGAAATCACCACCTCTGGGCAGGAGGTCAACCAGCACAGAAATAGAACGTTAAACCACAAAGCTAAGAATCCTCACGGAGCCCATTTCACCCCCCGTCCCCTACCACCTCTACAGAAACAGGTGCTGGTATTTACAGCTGAGAGACCCATAGATGGTTCACATCACAGGACTCTGTGCAGATAACCCCCAGGACCAGACCAGACCCAGGTAGACTAGCTGGGTGGCTAGACCCAGAAGAGACAACAATCATTGCAGCTTGGCTCTCAGGAAGCCACATCCATAGGAAAAGGGGGAGAGCCCTACATCAAGAGAACACCCCGTGGGACAAAACAATCTCAGCCGTCAGCCCTAGACCTTCCCTCTGACAGAGCCTACCCAAATGAGAAGGAACCAGAAAGCTGACTCTAGTAATATGACAAAACAAGACTCTTTAACACCCCCCTCAATCACACTAGCTCACTAGCAATGAATCCAAACCAAGAAGAAATCCCTGATTTACCTGAAAAAGAATTCAGGAAGTTGGTTATTAAGCTAATCAGGGAGGCACCAGAGAAAAGCGAAGCCCACTGCAAGGAAGCCCAAAAAAGATACAAGAAGTGAAAGGAGAAATATTCAACAAATATTCAAATATTCAATCTCAAATTGAGATTCAGAGAAGGTAAGTGACTTAGTCATGAAAATTTGGCTAATAATTAGCAAAATGTAAGTTAAAACGTAGGTTCCAAGCCCACAATGTTCTCCCCTTGTGTAAGGTTACGGATTCTTAATCCTACCTATCCTTCAAGATTTTTCTTTTTCAATTTACCAGCACTGCCCAATCACCAAAGATTCCTTCCTCCCCTGAACTCCTGCTAATCTCAGTGGCCATTTATTTTTGCCCTCATTGACAGTGTACTTTGTGATATTACATAATATTCTATATGCATATTTCTTGGCTACTCAACTGTACCACAAGCTTCTTGAGGTTTCTGTATATCTCCTATATTGTTTGTAGGCCTCTGAAGAAGAGATCATCTGTTTTATTTTGTATTTGTTTGTAGTTGCTTGATATCCTTTTACCTGCTCCTAACCTTTGGTATCCCTATCTTTGGTAACGGCCCCCTTTAGGGCATAACCAATCTTCCATGGCAGGCAGTTTTGGTAGCACTGTCAATCAAGGTTCTTTGTTCTCCCCTGAATACACGGTGTTCTTATAATCCACACTGGGCTCAATAGGCTCTCTTCATAATTTGAATTTGAATCAAACAAAGGGAAAGGAGAAGGAAAATGGTTGGAGCCGATACATCCCAAAGGCAACATCCTAGAAGGACTTTTCATTCATTTCTGCTACCTGAATTCTCAAAGCTTTCACAGTTGCTGTTCTTTTAAAGGCCAAGTTCTTTAGTCTTTCCTCAGTTTCTGGCTGAGTTACTTCATATCCTTCCAGTAATTTTCACTTTTTGCTTGAATCAGGCAGAGTTACTTTCTGTTACTTGCAAAGACTCTTATTTGATAAACCCACAAAGCTTAGTATATAGGGAATGCTAAGTATTTTTAAATGTTTTGTCCTTATGCAGATTATAGTTGCTATTTCATATTGAAAAAAAAAAAAAAACAAATGGCCTTGAAGTGTAGCATTTCTATTGGTTAGAATTTTAATAACCAACAGGCTAAGCTAACACTGGGAGCTCGTCTTCATTGAAATGAATTTTATTACAGTTCAGCACACTGGTTTGGTGACTCAGAAAGTGATAATGCACAAATTAACAAAGCATTTTGTGGTGAGGGTAGTACTTAAAATAATGATACCCTTTAGTGTTGACATTTTGGCTAACCCATCTCTGTTTTCCTTTTCTTCCCAAATGCCATAGCAGCCGATTGTGACCCTCTGAAATTTTTATATTACCTTACTATTCAAGATATATCTGATAAATTTAACCATGTATAACATGCCTCCTTTTTACCTAGGTGATTATTTTAACATACTCTATAGCTTCTTGTTAAAAGCCTTGGATTACAGTTTTAAAATCACTGAGAAAGGAAATTATCACTAGAAAAATTTAGAAGAGTAAATGGTATCATTTTTAGAGCATCATCAGTGTTCTATGAGGGAAATTCCCCTTGCTATTTTCTTTAAGAAAGCAATAGCTAAGAAAAATCAACCAAGTAATCTTTCATAATACAACTGAAATTAAACAGCAATTCTAGCTAATCATACATCAGTAGTTAGTTAATTCTATTTCAAACAGAATACAGACCTAAGCTAACTATTTCTATGTGCTTCTGAAAATTTCTGTCATTTTAGACATTTACATCTACTCACGATCCTTTGTATTCCAGGAACATCCTCTGAATTCTAGACATTATGGGAATATCATGCATGTATATAATATTTCCCTTTCTAAATGACATGTGTTTTCCTAGAAATTTCCCAGAAGATAAAAATCTTACTGAAAAGCAGGGGGTGGGGTGGGGGGCAAATTTTAAAACCTTCACTTCTTTCACTTTTGGAATACCTATTGCTACATGATAGTATTTCCCACAAGATTATTTTTTATTTTATTTGAAGTTGGCAAAAATCTTTGTGCTGAATCCTTTGAGCATACCTCTAGTGATAGACGTCAGATCAGCGTTGTGTGGAAGAACTTTTATTTGACAGGTAGATGACAGAAAGAGAAGCCTTTCTCCAAAATATAAGATGTAACTGTAAAATCCTTCTGTGAGATTAACGTAATCTTTTCTTCCTACGTGTAAATGACTTATTCATTCTTGCTTCAAAGAAATCAGTTCATGTAATTAATTTGAATAGTGTGAAATTAAGACACTTAGAAAGTATATATTTCTTCAAATTAGAATGGCTCATTTAAAATATTTTTATATGAATTAAATGTAAAATAGGTATCTAATACAAATTTCTAACGATATTTTCTTTTAACTTATAATCTTTTTATAATTGTCAAGCAAGAACACTTTTAGATTCACTCACTGTGCATAGAGCATACACTCTAGCCAAGTAGCACCATAGTAAAGAGATGACTCTATTAACATTGGGTATATGGCATGCAATACAATGCTAAAGTCCTAAATACTGTATTTTATCCTATAAATCTGGCCTGATTTAGTACAGTTTATTACAAGCGTTGCCTTATTCCCTCTGGCATTATGAAATGATTTTACATGTCCCCAAATATCACACGGGGTGGGGATAAAAATATTTCCTTCCCCAAATCTAGCATTTCCAGATAATCTTCCCTATTTTCCTTGTTCTCTTTCCTAACAGCTCTCAAAAATATATCAGGAGTAAACAGATACTCACAATTCTATTGTATATCCTATTAACTATAAATGTTATTCTTTATGTCTATTTGGGTTAGAACTACCAAGATCAAATCATTTTTGATACATATCAAAGTGCTAGTCAATGTATATGTAATACACATCAATTTGATGCATGAATAGAAAAGAAATTCATATCCATTGCTAAATTTGGGATTCTCATTATAATATACTTCAAGAACTAAAAGTTCTGCAATGTTTTCAGATGTGAGAGGAAAAAAAAGTGAAAGAATGGAAGATTTCAAAGATAGATTGTTTGTTTTCAGATTTATTTTCATCTCTAGCTTTCTTACAGGCCTTCACCTCAGAGTCTGTTCAGGCTTCTATAACAGACAGATTTCTTTTTCGTGAATAAGGTGGTTTGCTCTAGCCTAAAAATGGACATATACAAGCCCTTTTGGACTTCTCTGTTTCTTTGTTTGCTTTTCATAAGAATTAAGTCTCAAAAGTATTATTATTAAATGTTCCAATCAAAACAAGATGATTATCATTCAATTTTCTTTTTCTCCTCTTAGTTAATGCACTAGATACCAGAGTACAATACTACTTGACATTGAAGAGTATTATTATCTTAAAAATTGCTATTTACCTCATTAAATTTAGCTTCTCAGATACTTTCTAGAAAGACATAAGTCATAATGTAAATGAAATACAGTACTGTATCTATTTTATTTTATTTCATTTTATTTTTTGAGACAGAGTTCCGCTGTGTGGGATCAGCTGGAGTACAGTGGTGTGATCTTGGCTCACTGCAACCCCCATCTCCCAGGTTCAAGATACTCTCCTGCCTTAGCCTCCTGAGTAGCTGGGATTACAGGAACCCATCACCACACTCGGCTACTTTTTGTATTTTTAGTAGAGATGGGGTTTCACCAGATTAGCCAGGCGATCTGCCTGCCTCAGTCTCCCAAAGTGCTGAGATAACAGGCGTGAGTGAGCATGCCTGGCCAATACTGCATCTATTTTATAAAAGTGAAATTTTTTTTGTCTATAAACTTCAGCAAAATATAATCAGCAAGTGTTAAGTTATATGTTCCAAAATAATTTTTAAGTCTTGGCTGGGCGCGGTGGCTCAAGCCTGTAATCCCAGCACTTTGGGAGGCCGAGGCGGGTGGATCACGAGGTCAAGAGATCAAGACCATCCTGGTCAACATGGTGAAACCCCGTCTCTACTAAAAAAAAAATAAATAAATACAAAAAATTAGCTGGGCATGGTGGCGCATGCCTGTAATCCCAGCTACTCAGGAGGCTGAGGCAGGAGAATTGCCTGAACCCGGGAGACGGAGGTTGCGGTGAGCCGAGATCGCGCCATTGCACTCCAGCCTGGGTAACAAGAGTGAAACTCCGTCTCAAAAAAAAAAAAAAAATATTTAAGTCTTTTAGATTTTACTAATATTTAAAAAATGTATTTGTTTGAATTCAGGTGTAATTCACATCCCAGAAAATTCACCCTTTTTAAGCATACAATATTGTGGTTTATGCACTATTGCTATTTGTGGTATCCTCTGTCATAGACAAGAAGATTATTGTTGTAAATTAGCATTATAAAATGTCATCTTACCTTACAAAGGAAATTGATCTTAAAACCCAAAGACTGGGCATTTCTTGAGCCTGAGTTCATGTAGTTTCCAACAAGAAGAACTAACTCTAAAAGTCTGTTAAAGCTTTCACTTTTCTTCAGTTCTTCACAGGCAAGAGTTACTGCTATGATGCTTGGTTTGATGTTGTTTACGTGTTCTTCAAATGTGAGCTTGAACAGGATACTACTGAGACGAGGCTGTAACATTTTTACGGAGCTCATCTGAAAGATAAGAAAAACTCTATGAGAATACACATTTAATGCCTCTTATTTTATCTCTTTACTGGAGATAATTTCACAGATAACACTGTAACATTTCTGCATAAAGTGAATTTGGTCTGGGAATTTAAAAATATTTTATTTTAAACATTCCAAAGAAATATATTGTCAAAGTTTAAAAAGCAGTTGGCTGTATAGGTTTTTAAAAAATAAATCATCCTTATAGCATTAACAAAATATTATTGAAGCTGAACAGTTGCTATATGTTAATTGCATAATCATTAGCCATCAATAGCATTCAAACAGCCAAAATCTGTCTCTGAGGTTTATAAAGAGAATTTATAAACATTAAATGGAGTTGAGTGAATAGTTCGGCCATGGATAAAAGATGTACATGATGACAGAAAATATAGTGGAACATTTCCTAAGAAATTACCTATCACTATGCTGTGTGAAATCAGAAGACTAGCTCTGATTGATAATTTTAAACTTATTATTTCTATTCATAAAATATATTATTTATATATACTGTAAAGATTTTCACCTACTTGACAGATGTTGATGTTAAGTAATTAGATGATAGTAAAATCACATGAACTTACTTTCAAGTACATTATGGAAGAATTCTATACAGTTCAACTTTGGTTTTAATTACTTGTTTTATAACATTGATGAACATTAAATATTCCACTTGGTATAGTTACTATGATAATAATTTTTAGTTTTTAATGTCCTATAGCTCCAAGTTACTCAAATAGCTTTCCTTCACAAAATAAATTCTGGGAAGGAGGTTAGGGGTGAGGGTAGACACATATGAACATACACATAGACACATACACACAATGAAAAGCAATTATTAACAATCCAAATTATATTTGTTTTTGTATGTATAGCCTACTTCCTTAATTACAAATGCCAAGTAAAGATTAGACTCCAAGGTATCTGTAAAAAACGTGAAGAGATTTGACAACAAAAGTTTTTAAACCACAAAATACCTTTCAAAAGCAGTAAATGAGCTGTTGAGCAGACCATATCTCCTCTAATACAGAATCAAGACATAGTCCATTATTTTTTTTCTTCAAATTTGCCCATTAACCATGAACATCTGCTTCTCCAAATATGAACCTCTTCCTTCCACTAATCCTCCAATATGCATGCTTTTCACATGCAGATATACAACAGTATGATGAAATATCTACCTGTTACTATATTTTCGTAGGCCTCACCACTTATGACTAACTTTTATCTGGTCAAAGTATTATTGTACAAATCATCCTATTTCTTCAGTACTCAGATGGCAGGTATAAAACACCTATTCACACAAAGCTTACAATATAGTCAGAAACTCAACATAGACCTTTGAAAACTAGAGCTGGCGAAAAAGCCAGCACATGATTTTAGATAAGTAAAAAAAAAATTAAGTTCTGGAGGTGTTCACTGGAAGAAGAAAAAAAGCTTTAAACTCTTATGATTACAGTGGTTCATTAAGGCTTCACAGCACAGGAAATACAAATGAAAAAAAGGTATGTATAGGTGTGTACATGCATGTATAAATTTAAGCACACATAGAACTGACACAAAAAGGAAGAAGTGGCCAGTTATGGTGGCTCAGTCCTGCAATCCCAGCACTTTGGGAGGCAGAGGCAGGATGATCACTTGAGGTCAGGAGTTTGAGACCAGTGTGGCCAACATGGTGAAACCCTGTTTCTACTAAAAATACAAAAATTAATCAGGCATGGAGGTGCTGCAGTGCCTGTAATCCCAGCGACCCAGAAGGCTGAGGCCGGAGAATCGCTTGAGCCTGGTAGGCAGAGGTTGCAGTGAGCCGAGACTGCGTCACTTCACTCCAGCCTGGGCAACAGAGTGAGACCCTGTCTCAAAAAAAACAAAAAGGGAAGTAGAGAGTGAGAGAATGGTGTGAGAAAAGGTTTATAGGCTAGGTATATATGACATATATACCTAGGGGCACAATTTGGAACAAAGTATCTAAAGAGTCCAGGTAAAGGCCACAGAAGTGGAAGCTAATCACAGTCAAGTCTATGTCTCCATGAATTTGCAGGTCTCTTTGTGTATGTCTGTGTGGGAATCACTCTGAGTTTCTCTATATATTTTTCTGCCTCTACCTCTGTCCCCAAATCCCTCCCCACTTTATTTTTTCTTTCCTTTTACTGGTAACTGGCCATCACTAGCACTGAGGCACGTTTTCTATCATTTTATGTTTAGGGAGTAGTTTTTTAGTCCCCCTGATGACTAAAAAAGCCATAGAGCTACTTTAAGCAGTTGCTAGTGACCATCCACTTGCTCTCCTGGCCATACTTTGCAGAACTTATAGGGGCCCTGTTCATCAGGGTGCCCTTGGTCCCAGATGGACAAGGAACAAAACCCTTAGGGATATGTGGGCTTTTAGTCTTCTTCAGTTCCAATATCATGGGCCTTCAGTTATGTTCTTTTCCTTTCCAGGTTTTGTATTGGCCTGCAAGGTTTGGCCTACAAACTACGAGAACATGGATTTGATCATTTTCTAAAAATATCAGCTCCAATTGAAATAACATGACCAAAGTATGCTTTGATGATGATGGTAACAATGATAACAGCAATTAACATTTATTAAGTACTTCGTGCCAGACATTTTTCAACATTTGCCTTATATATTTATTTACTGATTTGATTCTCAAAACAATCCTAGGAAAAGGTTATTATTATTTTCATTCCAAAGATGAGAAAAGTAAAACAGGAATAGTAAGTAACTTACACAAAGTCAAATTTTGTTAGAAACCCGAAGATTTGAACACAGGCCTTTGGGTTACAGATCCCAGACTCTCCATCGCTATCCCACACTGACTTTTGAGTCTTATTAGGAGCGGTAACTATGATTGGTTGAAGGAGAGATTAACAGCAGGGAAACCATCAGTAAGTTAGCAAAATGGTGCAAGAAACAGGTAATGAGGTAACATGATGACAATAAGAAGAGAAAGAAAACCAAGGATCTAAAAGATAGAATTAAGGAAGAATCAATGGAGAGTTATAGCAGGAGAAAGTCAAAGATGGCTCCAAAGTTTGAAGTCTGTCGTGAAGCAGAACAAGGCTGGCAATAATGAAGGTAGAAGGAGGTGCTAATTTGGTACAGTTCGTCACTTGTTTGTTTGCTTGTTTCAGGGAATGAGAATAGATGGATTTGCTTTCCCTGATCTGCTGTTACTTAGATTCCGGTAAGCCAATCAGGAACTAAGGCAGCAAGGGCAGGTAGGTATAGCTTAGTAGCAACGTCAATCAATTAAGGCTGATTTTAGAAACTGTCACGTGATTGTGTGAAAACAGTCTGCCTAATTTTCTGGTCTTACATTTCCCCGTCGTAAAGTGGCAGAAATTCCTGTAAAGTGGTCTTGTTTTGATAAAAAGAAGGCAGTCAGAATAAATGATTCATAACATTTACTTTCATCTTTTTTAGGCTCTGCCTCTAGAGCTTTGAGAAGGTAGAGTAAAAAGTACTAGCTCCATAAAGGAAAAGTATTGCCTGGCTGCTACCAAAAATTTTTATTAGCATTTACGTAAATTCAGTTGTCCATCTTCTCAAACATCAAATAGGGCATCTTACTTCTAATCACGATACTCTTATTTTCCCATTCATGACTCCAAGTCTTGAAGTGATGTTCAAATCATAGTAAATACAATGTTATTTATAATAATACCAATCTTTACTAATATTTTAAACTGTAGAATTTCTGAGAGTTGTCCCTCTTTTCCATGCTCACCATATAGAAACACATAAATTTTATGTACTTCAAGTCTGGATTACTAACATAGACTAAATGTTCTCCTTGATCCCTCTCTCAAATCCTCTTAAAAATAGTAAACTGATACCTGCATGATAGGGAAATAATAAAATTGCTTCCTTGACATGTTGAATTTTTTGTATTATTATGATATCTGCTAGCATTTGAACCTACAGTTCAAGGGGCTAGAAGTATTGGAATTGACAGATTTGGGAGTTATCTGAATACATGCTACGGGAGGCAAGGTCATTGATGAGGAGACTGCATGGAGGAAAAAAAGGAGAAAGGAGTCAAAAACTGCATCTTGTGGAGCACACAGCAAAGAGTCTTGAGTATATCAGACATTCAAATATGTGCTGATTGATTTTTAAAGCACTCCTTAGCTGACTCACCATTTTCCAGATCTGTTCCCAAGTAAGACAATTATCTATTCAACACAATTAATAGCTGATAGTAATATTTTACTTCCACAAAGTAATGTCTTCAGTTATAATATCAAACCAGAAATATTAGGGAATTAACTTTGTTGAACCGCTATTACTAGATATTAATCTATCATTAGCCTGCTTTTGGGAAGAAGTTGTATACTGCAAGGGGTTCAAAGTTGCCCTTTGATCTGGCAAAAGTTCTTCATTGATTCATCTCGTACATAAGGTTTCTATACATGGCAGGTGATAAAGATGAAAGTGATTCTGAAAATAAACAACTGTAAAATGAATGAACGAATGGCTTCATTCATATAAATAGGAAACATAATATTCAGTAAAATGCTGGGTCAAGAAGAAGATGCATAGTTTCAAGAGGTATAACAGCAGGCTGATGTGGGGAAGGAGGAAGTGCCTTATGTAAGGTCATTCATTAGCTTCCAGGTAGGTCACCCCAACAATAACGCCAAGGCCCAATCTTAGCCCAAATTCAGAGCCCCATACAGCTTTTTTTAAAAAGAACAGGATTTAGGAGAATTTATTTCTCTAAACCCAGGAAAGAAGGGGAAACAATCATCTGAATTCTCCAGGCCCATACTGTAAGTTGCAGTATAAGAAACAGGGATACTGGAGTTACACAGACCTCGGTTTGAACCACACTTCTGTCAATTTATTTATTTTTTTTGAGATAGGGTCTCACTTTGTCACCCAAGCTGGAGTGCTGTCAGGTGATCACAGCTCACAGCAAACTTGACTTCCCAGGGCTCAGGCAATCTTCCCACCTTAGCCTCCTGAGTATCTAGGA